ACCTCTTACCGTACCCTACTTTATCCTGTTCTACCTTACCCAACTTTTCCTTATCTTACCCTATAGTTCCCCACCTTCTACCTATTGTTCCTAGACTGAGCAAAAACAAAAAATATGTTTTGGACAAGCTGGACTAGACCAAACCATAAAACTAGCCAAACCAAACGGAAAAAAACATGCCCGGGCGGTGCAGACACAACTCTAAATTTACTCTACCTTTTTTGTACCTATTTAACATAAAAAACTATCAAAAATTAAAAAAAACCAACTGTTATTGATAATATTAACTAGAACCCGTATGCATCATTTCTCTCCACCTCCGACCTGCTTCAAATTACCCCACCACCACCCCGTCCTGACTAACCCAAACGCGCTTAAATTGCATGACAAATATGTAAATAGAAGCCGGAAATAAACATCAACCATCTACAATTTAAGCAAACAAACATGTGGGTTGAAACGTGCTAGACAACGTGCTTTGAGATCACCGTGACGTCGGAGAAGAAGTGAGTAAAATTAAAATATTTTACATTGTAGTGTAAAGTTGAACATATTGCTTTGGCATGTTGTAAAAAACTTTATTTGCTACCCTATTCTACCCCCCCCCCTTTCAAAAAAATTTTTTTTTCAAAAAAAATTGAGCTTGGTCCCCCCCCTGTTGATATTTTTATAGCACAAATTTTTTTTTCAATTTTCGACCTTACCAAGCCCCTCTAAAACAAAATTTCAATTCAAAAACAAGTTTTACTCTTACCGTAACCTTTAAAACCACACATTTTTCCCGCTTCTCTCGCCCTCTCAATGCCTTGTTCTCCCGCAATCAAAACCCGAACGTTCCCACCACATATGTTTCGAAAAGACGAATGATCGCGATTGCGGCAAGTCTTTTATTTTTCAATTTGATTTGGCAAAAAGTTTGAACAATATGGATAAATATTATTAAAAATGGCATTGGGGGATAAAATGTAAAATTTTTGCTACAAGCTAAAAAAATTTTAAAAATAACAGAACGGTTAAACAACAATTGACTATATAATAACAAATATCTGTAAAACTAGCAATATATCATAGAGCCTCTGTGTAAGCAAGAGCAAAAGCAGTTTAAATTGTTTGTTATAAAGGATTTTTGTTATACAGGAGCTTTAAATGCTCTGTTTAATGATTGATAGACAGAATTTTAAAAGCTGTTTGTTATACAGAATATTGTTTATAGAGAAGTTTGTTATACAAGCCCCTAACTGCATACAAGACGCGCCAAAAGTTCTGTTACAAAACTTTACTGGTCGTTTTCTGTATAAAGCTCAATTTCTTGAGGTTAAAAGGTTTTTTGTGTTCAAAGGCCAAGTCTGCAACTAAACTTACCCGGCCCAAGCGATCAAGTCAAAAAAATATAAAAAAGGTTTGACTGGACTAAAGCAAAATTGGAAAGAGTCAAGCCAAAACCTTTAAGCTAATGGGATGAGGCCCAAACCAAGGCCTTAGGTAGATCGGGTCAAAAGAAAAGGAAGTTAGGTTCGGCATGACCGTTTGATAGACTAAACGACACCAAAGAACAGCGACAACACAAAGCTATACCTAAAGACTACAGATCTAAAAGCCTATGGTTCTAAGCACAAACTCTATAACAGAAAGCGGCGGCAAAAGCATAGAATACCATACAAACAGAAAGAACATCCGACACAACTGAACCTCCACCCTGTATTTTTAACTGCCTTTTGAATGGGATATTATCCGTTTTGCAGACTGAAACTTATTATCCCCTTAATATGTGCCAAATTTAGCCAAGTATTATCGGGTTTTTATGGTTATCAATCGTATAAGGTTTTGTTGGTGCCTACGATAAATTTCTAAAAAATGGCCTGAAGCTACAAAAATGTAATTAAAGTTTAGCTCAAGCTATCACAAGTACAATACTACAAGCAAGGTAAAGGTTAGCTAGAGTTAAAACTAAAGCTAAGACTAAGGCCCAGGTTTACCTCAGGCTCAGGTTTAGAATCAGACTCAAGCTCAGGCTCAGGCTCAAGTTCAAGTTCTAGCACAAGTGCAAGCTCAAGCTCAAAACCAAGCTCAGCTTCAGCCTCAGCTTCATGCTCAGGCTTAGGCTTAGGCTAAGACTAAAGCTCAGGCTCAGGTCAGGCTCAAGCTCAGGCTCAGCCTCAGCCTCGGCCTCAGCCTCAGCCTCAGCCTCAGCCTCAGCCTCAGCCTAAGACTAAGACTAACCTAACTTTTCAAACCATCACCAACCACAACGTCAACACTATACATTTGATACGACGGTGTAAATTCGTGTAATGACCCAGCAGACAATAGCGTGGGTAAATATAGTAGCAATGTAAAAAAGTTACAACGCAAAACTATGTCGCAAGCAATTTAACTCGTATTTTGCTGTAAATTTATGAAGTCATAGGAACGTAGTTTAGTTTTAGCCAACGCGCATTCCTACGATTGGCCCAAATTGGTCGAGAGTTTGTAAAATTAAATGTTTGAAACGTTTTTGCTGTGAAAAGAAGAAAAATAGTTTTTCATTGACATAAAGGTAAAATACGTGATGCAACGAAATAAAAAAAATATATAAGAAACGTTTTATATAATATGGTTAATCAAAATTAAGTTTGGCCTACGTTGATAATACAGTAGAACTTTTATATAACAAGTCGCTTAGGGCCTTGATGTTAGGGTCCGGCCCGTTTTTACGTTTTTCTCAAACCGGCGCAGCTCGATCAAAACACTTTTAAACTAGGCCTAACCCGGCCCATTTTAAAAAATTTCAAAATTTTAAAACTAAAAAAGCTGGCTTTGCATTTTTTAGTTTACTTGTGGCACTTAAAAAAACTTAAAAAACGTTATTAAAAATTAAAAAAAAACATTTTTACAAAATTTTGAAAAACTTTTGTGCCTTGGCCTGCTTTTTAAGCATGCCCCCCGGACCGGGTCCGATTTTTTAAGCCCAATCGTTTTAACTTTAAATTAAGGATGATTCGGCCTACAGGGCCGTCCTAAACAGTCACTCTTAGCAGGGACTTAAAAGTTGTTCTCTATACAAAAATTTTTTTGGAGGGTTTTGTTATAGGATTTTTACTATAGTTCTAAACATAATCATAGGTTAGAATATAATTTTTTTTGAATAAAAATTAATAACAAAACATTTTAAAATTTCCAAATAATGACCTTCAGTATAAAATTAAAAAGTTCTCTATATTAACCCCTAAGATCACAAAAATAATCTTACAAAGCTCAAAGACCCAAATCCGACCCGAACAAATGAACTGAAACCCGATGTTTCGTTCTTTTTATTGGCATCGAAACCCGATCCCAGCACAAACAGTATGCAAACTTCTTTTTCTGGCCACGCCTTCATGGGTGTTCGTGCATGAAACATTGGAATAAACAGTAAGTGAGTCAATAAGCGGATGTGTTTCGGCGAACAACTTAATATCCATTTCGGTTTGGGTCAATAGGTTTGAAACGATGTACGTAGATAAACTCTCATGTTAGTACCTATGACATGAGAGTTTGGTTGACTTAGTATTAGATAGAACACAGTTCAAATGACGATTGCAAAACCTGAACAGTAGTTTTTGACTACAGTAAGAAGATAAAAACATACGTCAAATAGAAGCTTCTCTAAACTGCTTCATACTGAACAGACTAGACTAAAAATCTTACTCATATATACTCGATGTAATATTTTGCGTCAAACAATATCTCATGCATGTTATTATACTCACTTCCATTAGTCATATACGATTAAATGTCAATCGCAATTTGCGAAATTAATCCAATTATGAACAATTTAAGAATTTATGTCCTGGAACTACAGCAATACTGCGTTTTTGGGTTAGGGCCCAAAGCTACAGCCAGTTCTCGGGCCAGAACCAAGGTCAAGATTAGGGTCAAGACCAATGCCATAGTTAAAACCAAAGTCATGATTAAGGCCAAACCAAGAGCCAAAAGCAAGGCCAACCTTAGGTCCAAAGCCAATACCAAAGCCAAGGCCAAGATTAGAATCTGGGCCTTGGGTTTAGAATTTGCTTAAAGGTTTTGAGGCTAGGGCTTTGAGACTAGGGCTTTGGAGCAAGAACTTTGGGAATAAAGCTTTGGGATAAAACGCTCTAGGCTAGAGTGAAGTTAAAGCTAGCGCTAGAGTTAGAAGCAGAGCTAGAGCTAGAGCTAGATATGACTATAAGTTTAAGCAACAACTTGGGTTATTAAGACTATTCATTATTCATTTTTTTTTACTAAAAAATTTCATCACTTAAAGCAAAAAATGATGACAGTTTAATCATCAAAAATTCGGTGTAAAAACATTGTAAACCCATTACAACTCATCCCCGAAAAGTAAACAAATTACATGAGATGCTTGATTACACCCAACTGCACAAACTGTGCTGTTCGTGTCACGCCAGCTCAAATTCGCGTTTTAATGAAATTGTGACGCCAGTTTTTAGCTCAAATTCATGTTGAACTGAACGTCACAAACAGCTCAAATTGACGTGTAAGTGTTGTAAATTGGGTAGATTGGGTTTGGCTACGCAAATCGTACGATTTGACATCAGAAACGTGTGCAACATACGATGGGGTTTACATCAGAAATTTTGAGTACTTGCATCAGAAGGGTAAATTGTAAATTAACTTACTTTAGATGACATAGGGGTTTCATTAACCTAAAATTTGATAGATGAACCGTAAAAATGATTTGTCATCACAAAGGTAAACTGTCCAGTATAACATCGCTTAGAGAAATTACAGTTCAAGGTAGTTCTAGCTCTAGCTCTAGCTCTAGCTCTAGCTCTAACTCTAGCTCTAGCTCTAGCTCTAGCTCTGGCTCTAGCTCTAGCTCTAGCTCTAGATCTAGTTCTATTAGGTGCCGGCAAAAGTTTTTCCACGATTTTTGTTTTTACCAAAATTTAATATTTAAAAAAAAGAACATCAACTAATGAACAAATATATGTACCATTATTATCAACGACCTGTTGCCATTCCTTCGGCAGCATTTGGATTCAACTTCTATAGAAACCTGGAGTTTGAGAATTGGAAAAGTTAGCCCACCATCTCTTGAGGTACTCTCGATTGTTAAAGTGTGTTGCATTCAGGTGGTTTTGAAGAGAGTGGAACATATTATAATCTGTAGGCACAACATCATTTGAGTGCAGTGCATATAGAATCACAGCCCAGCCGAAGCTTTTCAGCTTGTGCTGGGTCAACTTTGTCACATAGGCGCGAGCAGTACCATGAATGAAGAAGGTTCGATTCTGTTCACCATGCAATGCCGCCGCAACAGATTTAATTTGTCTACAGTAGACATCCACAGGGATCGTAGTTCCATGTGGTACCATTTCCTAGTACACAATAACTATTGAGTTCCAGCTAACGCTGATCATCCTATCCAGTGGGTAAAGATCAGGTTTTGGAGTTGATGTACCCTGTTCTCCACGTTCAAGCCATTGTTTCTTCCTGGTGTGATTAACATACAGTACTCACTTCTCAACCCCAGTAACCAAATTGCCAAGCCATGCAAAGGTCCTTGGGAACATCAACAAATAAGTGTAAATTCCACTTAGCGTTTCAGCTGGTCGCTGTTCAAATCATGTGGAACCCCTTGACCATATTTCCATGATCTTCCGAGGTCGTGAAGTCTAGCTAATATGGTAGAAGGATCACACTGAAGCTCTACAGTCAAATGAGTACATGTTTGTCTGGGGTCTTCTTCAATCAGCTTCAGAAGGTGGGGTTTCTCCAACGCTGATAATCTACCATATCGAACTTTTCGGACATGTCAAAGTCACCGTTTTTGAACTTGTAGAACCAAACTTTTGTGGAGTCGTAAGAGACAACTGAAGGTCCTACAGCACAGCATATTTCCTTCGTCGTTCTTGTTGCGTTGCCGGGATTGCGGAATTTGAGAAGCAACACTGCCCAAACATGGTCATGTTTCACCTTGATTTCCTGAACCATCGTAAACAACAGAATGCTTGAACATGCAATAGTTTTTAGTCTTTGGACAACTCTTTATATAGGTTATCAACAGAAACTTCTAGAACTGTCCATAATTTTTTGGTAAATTTTAGAAAAATAGTGGAAAAACTTTTGCCGGCACCTAATAGTTCTAGCTCTAGCTCTACATCAAATGACACTGTCTGTTATATGATATACTTTAGGTCACTGACCCCTACGTAGACTGACAACATTGTAGCTACGTAGGCTGGTGACATTAAAAGTATTCAAAATGCGATTTAAAATGCAAAGTTAAAGGTTTTTCACAACAACTATATGCAACATTTAATGTCACAATGTGAACTTTTTAAAATTTAAATACTAAGCCATATTAATGCTTCCGGATGTAGCTGTATGCTACGTAGTTCTCAAATATTTTTTTATTTTTTAAATTTTACTTTATTACATACTTATGATGTGATGCTCCCAAAATTTTTCGCATAATTGGAGCTTCTTTATTTGCTCACAGCACGCTGCGTAAAGTAACTTGATCCCCCCACCCCCACCCTGAAGTTTGCGCTGCTGGACTGGTTCCAAAAATGGTCAAAGATTGTGTAGTTAATATTTAAAAGCGTTTATTTTAATCCAGCTCAAACTTATTTTTGGCCAAACTGTTTGTTTAGTAATTGAGATTGTGGATTATTAAAGCTGTTCTAGGAAGCTTTGAGAATAAAATGGCTAAAATTGCCACATACAACTGTTGAGTGTTTGGACTTTCGGTTTTGGGATGGATTTCTGCTATAATATTAAAACTTTTTAAAAATTTTAAATAAGGCTTAAAAAAGGGTCTACTGAGCCCAACCTGGCTTAGCTTCAACCCCAAAGCAATTTTTAAACAAACCGGGTCGAGCAAGCCGGGTACACGTAGACTCACCGGCCAAAGCCCAAAGCAAGGCCCATACCATTCCGATCAAAATTGTGTCCAGCCCGACCTAATATTTACAAGTACAAACCGCAGTATTAAAATGAAGTCTTTTTAACAGCGAGAAAGGGGTCGGTCAGTTCCGGAGCCCAAGTTTAGGCCTGACCCGTTTTCATTTTTACCTCAGGCCGGACCGGCTTGGTCCGGATTTTTTTACGGGCAATTGGGCAGGACTTTTTCGGGCCCAACACAACTTAAATTTAGCTCAAGGCCAGCCCAGGCCGGGCCTACAAGACTTGTTACTTAGCTTTATAACTACTTTGCCCTACCTATCTAAAATAAATTTTAAAAAATATTTGCAAATTTACCCTTTCCATACAGAATGTTAAAATTAAAACAATTAAGCTTTTTCTGATACTATTCGTAACATCTCTACCCTAAAAGATTTTTTTTTGAAAAATATTGAACATGAGTTTTTTTGGATTCAAATAAACATATTTTTATGCTTTTTAGGCCTCATCTACAGTAACGCTTTTCTCTTGCGGACACCCTACCCTTCTTTATCCTACCCTACTCTACCTTACTCTACTCTACCCTACCCTACTCTAGCTTACGTAACCCTAATTTTCCCTGCTCTACCCAACCCTACCCTACCTTCCCCTACCAAAATTTTTCTCTACCACTTTACCATTCTCCCAATTTCAATTCAGCCAAGCCTTAAATAACCTTTATTTTTTTTATTTTTTAAACAATTTTAAAATAATTTCTAAAAAATTTAGCACGAAACCAAAAATCTTTTTGCTACACGACGTTTGCAAGCCACCTTGCTGAAGGTTCAGACAACAAACGCTTATTTTAAACACAAAACCAGCAAGTACACTATAATGACATGGCGTCGACACGCGAGTTTAAAACGTCAGTCTACGTCTGTTGGATGTAAAGCAAGGGAAAACTGTAGCTATATTATGAAATGGCAGTAAAAACTGAGATTAGAGAAGTACTGTTGCAAACTAAAAAAATAAAATTATTTTTGTGAATTGGTCCTACTTGCAAAAAATTTTAAAAATCTTGTTTTTGTACTAAAAACTTGTTGCAAAACCTACCCTATCATACCTTTAAATTTTTTTTAATTAAACAATTAACCGAATTCATATTTTACTATGACCTTTTTAGCAAAAAACCCATTTACTGTAACAAACTAATGCCTTAACAAAAAACGCGTAATTTTTGCTTATTTTTCATTTCCTGGCAAATTAAAGTCGGAGACCAATTTTGCGACTGTTCTACAATCTTGCAATTAAAATATGATGCAGTTTCCAACAAAAAGTCATGCGGTTTCGCAATTAATCGTAGCAATATCCTTAGCACTAACCCTAACCTAGAACCCTAACTCGGAGCCGTAGCCCTGAACCCTAGCCCAAAGCCATAGCTTATAGCCCTAGCCCAGAGCCTTAGTTCTAGCTCAGAGCCCTAGCCCAGAGCCTCAGCTCAGAGCCCTAACCTAGAGCCCTAGCCCAGAACCCTAGCCCAAAGCCATAGCTTATAGCCCTAGCCCAGAGCCTTAGTTCTAACCCAGAACCCTAGCCCAAAGCCATAGCTTGAACATAAAGAACGAGCCCGACCGGCCTTAAACTAAATTTAGGTCGGGCCGAACCTGAAAATCAAACCCGAAATGTCCAACCCGTTTGCACGTGAATAAATTTAGGCCGAGCTGGATTGGGCTTAAAAAATATGCTTAATTTGGTCTGTTTTTTATGTCTATTCTAGCCCAGAGCCCTAGTCATAGTCCCAGGCTTGAGCTAAATCTAGGTCCGGCTGGTCCGAAAAACCGCGGCCCATTTGCACGTAAAAAATCGGGCTAGGCCAGCCTAAAATGAAAATGAAAACGGACCGGGCCTAAACCTTGAGCCCCGGGCCTGGATTGGGCCTCAAAAGGGAGCCTGGCCCTTTTTCGTACTTCTAGTGATTCTAATTTCCATTGCTCTGTGACAAACTCTAGCCCTAGCCTACTCTACTCTTTTCTACTGTCTACCCCTCCCAGCAACCTAGCACTTAAACTTAAACGTATTTTACTGCCAAACCTTTTTTAAAGTGCAAAATCTTTTTCTTTGCTAATTAAATCGAGAATTGTAGTAGAGGTTTGAAATTGGTAGTTTGTAGAGAACATAACTACAACAGACATAATAACCCACGAGTTGTAGACAGTGCAACAAGACTAAATTGTAGAAAGTGTCATGCCAATTTCTAAGAAGGGTCTCAATTACTACAGTATATGTTCAGTTTACATTGTGATAAGCGTTGTGACACATACGAAGAAACTTGTTACTCTTCTACAATAATCCTCTACAATAAGTTCTTACAAGTTAGAATGAGGTCTTACTGTAGATTTCAGTGGTTAACTCTTGTTACTGCTTTATAACGTATTGTCCAACACTATTACAGTAATAAAATTCCTTTTAAATTCTAAAATTCACAAAAAATTAAGTTTTTAACATTATACTATACACTATGTAACACATATAAATACGTAACATTTAAACGCACGTACACTATGAAAAACTAATCGTACCCCCAGAGAACGAAGACTTAAATACGAACGTCAGTACTGTGAGTCAACGCGCCCTACTACGGCTTCCTATTCAAATTTCCTTGTCAAAGATCGCGCCCACATCACTGTAGCGGTCCTTAACCCACAGTATAGAAGTTTAATCTGTTACATTATTGTAGTTATATTTAGTTGAAGTTATAGTAAAGAATACGTATATAATAGTGAAGCAAATTGTATGTTATGTTAATGTAATAGTACCGTATAGAAAAAACAATGGTAGGAAAAATGCAGAGCAACATTTCATGATAAAGCAGAGTAAGGCAAGGCAGAGTTAAACAAGGTAGATTATGGTGAGACAGGGTAAGATATGGCTGCATAATGTAAAGCAGAGCACCATAAGGTAGAACACAATAAGGCAGAGTAAGGTAGAGTAAGGCAAGGTAGGGCACAGCTGTGTAAAGGAGAATACGGTAGTACAAGACAAAAGCAAAGGCAAAGGCAAAAGCAAGCTCACAGCACTACAGGATACACAACTATCCCATTAATCTCTATTACCTTTGTACTAAAACCAGATACGGCTAAAACGGAACATGATACAGATATAGTATCATCCAACTAAGAATAGTATCACGTGAAAACACTGAGAATTACCGCACATTTTCTTTATATGTCTTTACAGAGATTATGTGGTCCTTGTACATAGTCAGTCTTCAGCATTGTTAATAGTATCGACTAATCCCACACAAAGCTATATTCGGCCGTAACCCGGATAAACCTGACTTAAACGAAACAAAGAGCCAGCCGGATAAGAGTGCGTCATTTTTTGATCATTCAAAGGAAAATTCGACCATTTTGTGATGTAGCATCTGATGCTTATTGTGGTTGGATTAAGCCAATGTTAACGTTTGAGCATTTGGTGTTTTGAGCAACATTTTTTGAACTTTTGTACTATAAGTTTGTATTAACAAAAAACTAGGATAACAAGCTATACTAAAGCTAGTGTAAAATGCAATTGTAAGGCTAGGGCTAAGCCAATTTTAAACTGTTGTAGAGAATGACCCTTCGACCCGGCCATGAAAGTGAAGATTCGTTTAGAAATGTAGCAAGGCTAATATAAGGCAAATAGTAAGTGTAAGAGCAGATTTTAAATGAACTTCCTCACCCCCCCCCCTTCTTTTTTTTCTTGGGCATCTCTGCTCCACTTCCCCCTCTCCCCGCCTTCCTCCTACCCCTTTTCTTTAACAAAAAATATTTATTATAAAACTTAAAGACTAACCATAACATTAAAATTCAAATCTTTACAATAATATCGTGAAGACTATTTTCAGACTGCTTTATTCCCGCTATGATCATGATCATGATCATCAACAACAACTGTAGGAGCGTCTTCTGGTCTTGGCCTTACAGTATTCTTCTTTTTCTTACCACATGGGTTTTCGATAAGCTCTCGACGTGTTAGTAGCAAACAAAACATGGCCAAGATCAAGATCAATAAGAGAAGGATAACAACAGCTACGATGAATATCCACGGCTGATAAAAGGCGTTTGAAGCTGAAACCATATTGGCAGTCAAGTTTTTCAAGGATGCGGCTATGCTTGCGACGTCATGGACTGTCTGAAAATTTAAATTAGGTGAGACATGTAGCTTTAAAAAAGTTAGATTATATAGTGGTGGATACTGTAGAAAGTTTTAAAGTAGGATATGGTAGGATAGGGTAAGATAGGGTAAGATAGAGAAGACTAGGGCAAGATAGACTGGGATAGCGTAGGGTAAGGTATATAAACTTACAGCATTAAAAGTAGAATTGGCAAGGTACTGACTCATTGGATCGACCACCTTATTAAGATTAATACTGATATTTTGAGCCACTTCTTCTGTCATTTTAATCAAGTGATCTAGATCAATATCCACCTTCAGTGATGATTTTTTGTCCATTGGGTCTTCCATCTTTTAACCCTATCTAAATTTGCAGTCTCAAGTTAAAAAAATATTTGTATAGTTACTCGTGCCGACGTAAAGAATCCGCCATTTTTTTACAAGAAATCCCAGACAAATGATGGCGGGTTCTTTATGTCGGCACCTAATATTTACAAAAAAAATTTTAAGAAAAAGTAAAAAAACTTACGAAAAACGTTAAATTCAGATCAACGTTAAAACTTGAAAGAATGGCTATTGTGATAGTTTTCACTTTTTACGCGTACAACATAGTAGCATGACTCAATTAAACCACGAATCTTCATGTTTTTAAGAAAACAAAACAAAAATGGTTTGCTATACGAAATCGGGCTTCTAGAAACATGACTTATCACCTTTGAGAACAACCTTACGTGAGAGTCGTGAGAGTATTCAAGTGGATAAAAGTAAGATACAATGAAACTTTATAGTCGAATCGCTCAAAATTTACAGGAAGCGCCAAAAGTTCTGTTACAAAACGTCTCCATTGCTGAAAACTATTAGAAGCGTTTGCGCTTGTGCCAAGCCGCAAGTGGGGGACGCTGCAAAACCGATTGACTATTTTATAACTAGTACTATATGTTACTAGTGTTAGTTGTTGTTTTAGTTATATTAGTGTTAAAATAAATATTTGATTAAAAAACTGTGTAACAGAACTTTTGGCGCACCTTGTCAGTCCTGTCACGACAGCAAGGCACTTTGCATTCTGCACCACATACATTTGTCAGCACGGCAACTAAAAGCCTGTTGTGTTTTATAGTGTGAACCAATTATTGTACACTTATCTGTAGGGCAATATACTGCTCTATATTAATGCGAGGGGCAATATAGTATCCTGTATTAACAAAGCCTTTGGTTTTTGGCCAATTTTATAAAAGGTAACAATGACCAACCTGGCTTTCTGGCTACAAGGCCAATAGTCTGCCTACCCAGGAGACTACTGATAGATTACTTAATAGATTACTATCCTAGCTTCAATAAGCCAGTTGAAGCAGTATAAGCTAACTTAAGCTTCCTTCGCGGTCTTTATATTTACTTTCTCTTATACAACCTTCTCTCTTCTACCCTATCCTACCTACATTACCCCTAATTCATCCTACTCTACTTTACCCTCTTCTACCTAAACCCATCCTACTTGACTCAGCCTTACTCTACCTTTCCTTATTTACTCTACCCTACTATAACAAACATTCTAAAATCAAAACCAAACTTTACTTTTCAAAATCAATAATATTATCAAATTTTACATTATCAGTATAAATTAAGATCCAAATTGACCGGGCAATTTTTTTCGTCTTTTGTAGCGTTCTTGTAGCAGCATAGACATTCATGACCACTAACATTATTTCCAATATCATATCCTGCTATTTTGCAGATTTCAGCGCAGTACGGATCGTTTACCCTGACTGGAGCAGCGGAGAAATAAGCAAAGCATAGGAAGGCTGGTAGGAAGAATAACAAGAGTTTCATAGCTTAGAAGTTCAATCAAAAGTTGTTTCAATGGGCAAAAATTGGCAAAAAGTATAGCGTTATTAGCCTTAAGCTTCTTCTTTAAACCTTTTATACTTTATTTTTTAATTTGTTTTCAAAAACTAATAAATGATAATGTGCAAGCTCTTTAATGATAACCTTTTATTAAATTTTAAATTAAAAAACACTTGCTTAATCAATTTCAAAACACTAAAAACATATTAAACTCCACCTCATCAAAAAAACATTATTTGCCATTTTGTGCAGTATTAGTGTAGCTGGCCTGAATTTCACTGGTATGATTGTCAATCCTTTTCAATTTCCTCCAAAACATCAGTCGCTGTCGAAATGAAGTGATAAAGTAAATGGTGCAAATTGGACTAACAATCGGTAGATATGAAAACATCATTGTGATTGTAAAACCAACGCTTGGGTTATTAGTTTTACTTAACATACCTAGTACGATACCTATCACTGGTAATAGGCCGGTGAAGATTGGAACGATTGCCTGAAGAAAGATTTTAGTTAAGGTACGGCTAGTGAACTAAGGTTAGAACTAGGGCTGAAACAAGGGCTAGCGCGTGGGCTGACTAAGACTAGAGTTGAGGCTAAGGCTATGGCTAAGGCTTAAGATAGTGCTAAAGCCAAGACCTAGAGGTATGCTTAAGGCTATAACTTAGGCTACGACTTAAACTATGAATTTTGCTAAAAGTGGGGCTCTGAGCTAAGTCTAGAGCCAGCGCAAGAGCTACGGTTAGATTTAGAAGGAAAGCTAAGGCTCTGAGCCAGCGCTTTAGGCTAGGGCTCTGGGTTAGGGCTTTGGGCTTGGGCACTGAACTAGGGCTCTGGGCTGGGCTTTGGGCTAGGGCTCTAAACTAGGGCTCTGGGATAGGGCTCTGGGCTAGGGCTTTGGGCTGAAGCTCTGGACTAAGATCAAGTGGTCTAGGGCTTCGGGTTAAGGCTCTGGACTAGAGCTCTGGGCTAGGGTTCTGGACTAAGGCTCTGAGCCAAGGTTTTACGTCTAGCTTACCTGGGCCATCAGCATGTTATTAAGGCCATTTTGCATTATTTTAGTCCTCTGAGACATGACGTGTTTCTTACTGAATAACTTTGTCATAACTTTGTGTCGTGTGAAAAATACAACAGAATATACTGTATTAGTAATCATCAGTGCTGATACCATGAAAATTCGACTGTACTGGTTGTACTGTAACAAAAATGATCAAAAGTACAAAAACTCATTTTTAAAATTATAAAATGATAAAGACAAACTTCTTTCTTATCAATTATCAAAAACGCAGAAAAAGCCTTACCACATCAGTAAAAAGCACTGGCACATCCTCAAGTTTCAAAAAGTAAGGTACATCGGTGAATATACTATGAAGTGTAGCGTTTGTACCCTCAGTTGATGTGTAAAAGCCATATGTCAAAAAAGTGGCATCCCAAGCAGCAAAAAAGTAAACAATCAACGTCCAGCTTAGTATATGGTAAAGTCTTACATTTGTATCACTAAAAATTAATTTTTAAATTTAAACTTTTTAAATTAATTAAATTAAACTTACTACTCTGAACTCTAAGCATAGCTAGGCTTAAGCCTACTCAGACTGAGCTTAAACAAGCCTTTAGTCTTAGACTACTAAGAGAAAGTAATCAAACTAAGCTTAAACCTATTAAGCTTAACACTACAGCTAAGCCTGTTAAAGCTATCCGTATTAAACCTAAGCCCACTATGCATCAGTTTATTAAGCCTAAGCTTGTTAAACGTAAACCTACCAAGCCCAATCTTATACTTAGTACTATATGTTACTATTGTTAGTTGTTGTTTTAAGTATATTCATTGTTTTAATAAATATATGACTAAAATAATGAGTCAACGTACTTTTGGCGCACCCTGTAATTTAGGCCTGCTGGCTCTTATCATTCTACCTAGCCTAGACCATTAAATAACTTTGTAGTTCATTAGGACATTTCTTTAACAAAAAGTCGTATTACACAATGTCTGCAGAGTTATATAATTTAATGAGCTAATAAGATAGCCTCAAAGAAATTGCAAAAAATGGAATTACGTAACGTTTTTTGATGTAATAATGTCATATTTGCCTCGGTGTAAAACGACCCAACAAATGACTGCGAGTGCTGGGATTTTACTTTTTCTTACTTTGAGGCAATAGTAAAAACAGTTTTTAAAAGTCAAAAACAATTTGCTAGTAATAAATTTAAACCTAGTAATGAACCTTACACTTGAGATGCTGCACAAGCCTAAACTCAAGCGTAGGCCTAAACCTGAAGTCAAGCGTAAGCCTTAAACTATGCTTAAGTGTTAACCAAAGCCTAAATTAAAGCTTAAGCTTGGACTTAAGCATAAGTCTAAAAGTAAATGTAAGCCTAAACTTAAGCGTTAACCTAAACCTAACCATAATCGTAAAAAATATAAAATTATTTAACTTAGACCAACAACATACCGACACACGACCATATAACGATACAAGAAGTCCATTAGCAAAGTGATGATACCAATACCTACTCCAATGGCATAGAAGAAAAACACCAAATATAAATTTGCGTCTTTTTCTCTACCGAGAAAGACCACAACGAACAAGCCGTTTCTGAACTGGAGAATCTGAAATGACATAGTTTACAACAAATAAATTTTAAAAAATTGTAATAACCTTACTGTTGGGTTGTTCAAAAAATAATGAGCTACTGATAAAAATAGAGTTAAAACCAACCTTTTAGAAAATTTAGGTAACAAATTTAAAAAAATCAAAAAATTTTTAAATTAAAAAAAATTTTTTTTGATTTTTAAAGAAATTTGTTATGAAATATGGCTCATTCTTTTTTGAACAACAATGTGTTAACTATTATATTATACTTTTATGCTCATTTCCTTACCGGTCTTCCAAGAGCCATACAAAAAGTACTGCAGAGCTCAGTACTAGCATTCAAAACGATCAACTTGCAATAGACTTTGACGACTTGTTGTCGTTCCGTTAGCGCCAATGTTAATTGCAACGCGTTCAATATAAGGCACAATGATATCACAAAGTATTCGTTTATTTCGTGATAGAACAGCCAGTCCATGTTGTTGTTGAACAAGCCTGTAATAGTTCTTCAACAAAGTTATAATATTAAGCCGACATAAAGAACCCGCCATACTTTTCATGTAATTTTTTGTAAAAAATAGCGGGTTCTTTATGTCGGCCCCTAATACTTAGTTTAACTATAGTAAACTAGATATATCTTGTACGAATGTACTAATTGTAATAAACTAGATGTATATTTTACATATATAGTGTATATACCAAATTATCTTTCAAAAATTAAAGTAATATGTACACAAAGTACATATAACAAAAGCATCTCTATATAAAGCATCTATATAAGGTATAATTATCACTTCAACCCCCTTCATACATACTATATTGAAATAAGTTTACAACCTTCAGAAATAACTAATAGAACTTCTTTTAAGTACTACGTGTACTGTTCAGTCTCACAATCCAACCTTACAATTAGTTATTTAAGATTAGATTACATGTCACCGCAAATTAGTAGTTAGTTCCAAACCTAATGTTCGATAACACGGTTTTCAAATACAATTAGATAGTAATTTTATTGTGCTTAATTGTACGATACTTAGAGGTTAAAATTTATTTTGAGTTAGTATCATAAATTGAATTTAAATTAAACTTTTATTTAAAAATAAAAACAAGTAAAACTCTTTCCTCTTCCTGTTAAATTCAAAAAAAAATCCCAATTTTTTTTCAACCCCCCCCCCCCTCTCCCCCTCATCTTATTCTACCATCTATAAATAGAACCGATAAAAGTGATCTCCTCTTCCCTCCCTTTTAGACATAGAAAACAGACAAGACTTGAGTAAAATAAAAGACTGGCCAAGCCGAAAATTTAGCCCTGCTTCAAAAGCTAAACCTAAAAAAAATAAAAATTAAAAATATAAAAAATAAATTTTAAATTAAAAAAATTATAAAAAAAATTAAAAAATATAAAAAAAATTTTAAATTAAAAAAAAGTAAAAAAAATAAAAAAAAATAATAAAAAAAATAAAAGTAAAAAAACCCCAATAGCTAGCATGTTTTGTTTTGTATTTTTTTAAGCTACCATGATTTTTTTTAATTTGAATCTTAAAAAGTCTTAAGAATTTCTTAAAATTCAGATCCGGCAGTGTCGGACATGAAAAGTAGGCTCGACCCGATTCCCATTTCTTATCCCTTTGTGTTGTTTTAAAAAAAAACTTTAAAAATCCCCCCCCCCTCCCCCACACTTCTTACCCTGCCCAAATAAAAAAGGAAAACGTGATACAGTGAAACAACTCCTGTATAACGAACAACTTTTCAATTCCCGGCTATTTCTACACAGTGCATTTAAAACTGTTGTATAACGAAACTCCATTATAACAAACAAATTCCAAGTCCCCGAGCGATTGTTATACAGGCGTTCCACTGTATATGTCCAGACATATATAAAAAAACAAAAGTTTGACTAAGCACGAAAGCACCGTTTAAGTCATGTCACAACAGCGAAGCACTTTGCAGTCTGCACCACATACAATTACCAACACAGAAATCAAAGGATATTTAAGTTGTATATTGTCAGCCAATTATCGTACGTTTATTTGTAAAGCCATATACTATCCTATAGTGATTCTCAACATGGGCCCGGTAACAGGGCATTTTTGAATTGTTTTTTGGCGCGTTTTTTTTTTAATTTTTTTGGCTAAGCCTAAACACAGTTAATCCATTTTTTTTTATTTTTTTTACGTTGTTATTTACTCGATAGCTATTACAGTTTTCAAGATATGAGTTTGGCGAGAAAACAAAATTCAAAAAAATGCCCTGTTGAAATGCCCTGTCCTGCCCTGCGTCCAACCCTGTTTGTTATACAGGAGTTCCACTGTACTTCAGTGAACTTAAAAAACCTGAAGACCCCAATTTTTTTCTAATTTTGTTGCTTTTTAAATCCGAATCACTCTCCCAGCACTAATGTAAAGCAAAATATCAAAGCTCACCTTATTTGCTAGCTAGATATACAAAAAAGTTACAGCTTACTATGATTATATACATTCTGTTTAGTATAACACCCGAATGAATGGTCTAAAACTGTTCATCTAACCAGCGTGTCACAACTCTTGTACGTTGTGCTTGAGATTCTATTACAAAAGTCGGCCAAAAAAAATGTCATTATAAGAAGAATGTCCTACTGAGTGTCATACTAAGTATTTATGTAATAAAAACCGAAATAATAAAAACTATCGACAAACGGGTTACATATATATAATTTTACATGTGAAAACCTGTTTTTAAACGGCTCATTATAACTTAATTGACATAGATTACTATAAAGTAATTACAAAAAATATGAATCATAAGTCTAGTTTGCATACTTAATTGTCTAGGCTGTGCAGTACGCGATGAAATTCTTGTTATGTTATTATCTTTTTCATTTACAGATCATTATAAAGTTTAAATATTATCATACAGGGTGTCCCAAGATTTTTGCGGAAAAGTAAAAGCTTGTTTCTCGAAAAGTACCAGTCCAAATTGGACGATTCTTTTTTTAGTACACTTGAAATTGCGGGCGGATTTGGTATTGGTACTTCGTTTTTTGATATTCGGCGGATGGTCGGCGGAGGCCGGCGGAGGCTACTTTTTTGCTTTGACCTATCCAAAACCTTCATTTTTTGGTTCCTATGTCACCTGCTGATTCGTCAAAACGCTTTCCAATCAAAACATGTCTTTCCCTGCATCGGCGGACGACCGGCGGAGAAAAACGGCGAAGGCCATAACTCCGCTCAAACTCAATATTTTTTCACCGGACAAAAAATGGAAATGTTATTTTAAGCTTTTTAATACATTTAATCAAGTTTACAGTTCAAAAAATTTCATCGGCGGACGATCGGCGGAGAAAATCGGCGAAGGCCGTATCTTGGTCAATTTTTAATAGTTTTTCTTCGGGAAACAAGTAAAAATGTTCTTTTAAGCTTTTTAATCATTTCAATTACGTTTAAAACTCAAAAAATTTCACCGGCGGACGATCGGCGGAGAAAATCGGCAAAGGCCGTATCTTGGTCAATTTTTTAATAGTTTTTCTTCGGAAAAAAGTTGCTGGTACCCTAAGGTCCTTCTCTACCTAACTGTTACGAATTCAGAAATTAGTGAAGTTTTTTAAAAAAATAGTTAAGATTACTTTCGATCGACAGAGATCATATATTTTTCAAATAAAACCATAAAAACATAGTTGAAACTATTCTGACTTGGTATTATTTTTATTTTTTTAAAACTCTTTGATCAAGAAAAAATGGTTTGGGGTGCTGATGTTAAGAGTGAATGTGTTGAATGGTATTTTAAGTTAGGGGAAAGTCCTGAAAGCGTTCGTAGAAAGTACATGGCCGTGTATCACCCCCGTAGCCCTCGTACACCCTGTCCATCAGCAGATTCTATTAAACGCTGGGTTATCGAGTTTCGTAGTCGTCGCCACTGCCTCAGAAAAGAAAAAGTGAAAACAAAGTAAGCACAACTAACAAAATAACATTTCTTTAGCTTTGTTGCCACTCCTGAAGTTGTTGCTAGAATTGGGGATGCTATTGCCGACAATCCGCGAATATCTGTAAGAGAATTGAGCCGTTTTGAGGGTATACCTTCGAAGAGTACATGTAGTCGGAAATTGCGCGAAGATGGGTACCACCCATACAAACTTCAAAAAGTGCAAGAAATCTTGCCAAGGCACATAGTACAACGTTTATCGCATTCAAATGTTATGCTTGAGCAGCTGCAAAACAACGAGGCGTTTTTGGAAGAGCTAGTTTTTAGCGATGAATCCACGTTTCATATCCATGGCCGCTTAAATCGTCAAAATTCAAGGTGGTGGGCTAAAGAGAATCCTCACTGGTGTGTATCAGAGCCGTTGCATTCTCCCAAAACGAATGTGTGGGCAGCCATCGGGTGGAACGGGGTTGTGGGGCCTTTTTTCATTGATGAAAACATTAACGGGGCACGTTATTTGGAGCTGTTAGAGCAAGATGTGTTGCCACAGCTTCTACAGTGGCCAAATTCAGGTACGAAAAACAAGCAAAATACTAATTTATATCTTTTTAGCTACTTTGGTGTACATGCATGATGGGGCTCATCCTCATCATAGCTTAGTTGTGCGCGAGTTTTTGAACACCCATCTGCCGGGTCGCTGGATGGGTCGGGATAGTCGCGGCGCTCCTCCTCCGTTCGTTTGGCCGGCAAACTCGCCCGATCTAACCCCAATGGATTTTTTTCCTTTGGGGTTACGTGAAGGCAAAAGTATACAGTGTTCAAGTCGCGTCGTTACGCGAACTAAAGCAAAAAAATTCGCGATGTGGTTGCGGAGATTTCAGTAGAAATGTGTCGCGCAGCTTTGCGCAACTATCCGAAGCGATTGCGACGGTGTCTTGATGTTGGTGGTCAAAGTGTGGAAAGGAGTTACCCAGCAACCAACGATGAACAATCTCATTAGTTAGCGTTGTTGTTATATAGGTTATTGTTAATAAACTTTTTATAAAAAATATCGGAATAGTTTTTAAAAAGTTAAATAAAAAAATAAAAAAAATAATATTTTTTAAAAAAAAGTTTTAAAAATTTAAAAATTTTTAAATTTGTTTGGTAGAGAAGGACCTTAGGGTACCAACAACTTTTTTTCCGAAGAAAAACTATTAAAAATTGACCAAGATACGGCCTTCGCCGATTTTCTCCGCCGATCGTCCGCCGATGAAATTTTTTGAACTGTAAACTTGATTAAATGTATTAAAAAGCTTAAAATAACATTTCCATTTTTTGTCCGGTGAAAAAATATTGAGTTTGAGCGGAGTTATGGCCTTCGCCGTTTTTTCTCCGCCGGTCGTCCGCCGATGCAGGGAAAGACATGTTTTGATTGGAAAGCGTTTTGACGAATCAGCAGGTGACATAGGAACCAAAAAATGAAGGTTTTGGATTGGTCAAAGCAAAAAAGTAGCCTCCGCCGGCCTCCGCCGACCATCCGCCGAATATCAAAAAACGAAGTACCAATACCAAATCCGCCCGCAATTTCAAGTGTACTAAAAAAAGAATCGTCCAATTTGGACTGGTACTTTTCGAGAAACAAGCTTTTACTTTTCCGCAAAAATCTTGGGACACCCTGTAGACCAATAGGTCAAATACGCTTTGTACTGTATATAAAAAAGTATTTAAAAATTTTTAAAAGTTTTTTACCCTACCCTACCCTACCTTACCCTACCCTAACCTACCTTATCCTACCCTACCCCACCTTACCCTACCCTAGCCTACCCTGCCTTACCTTACTGTATAACTTACCGTACATTTACACTATACCTTACAGTATACCTTACCTTATAATCTACCTTATATTTTATCTTATACCTTTCTTTATACCGTACATTGTAGTAGGTACTCTACCAATAATCCTTTATTTGACTTTAGTATAGTACAGCTTACTTTACTCTACTCTACTGTCTCCATACTCTGTACTCTATTGTTAATCCTTCACTTTAGTTTAATTTGCTATATCTTACATCACACTATTGTACTCTAGCCTACCTAAGTGATTTTTCTTTTTTCTTTTTTTTTCTCTTCACCCGCGGCCCATCCCTCCCCCCCCCCGCCCCCCGGAAAGAAACAAATAAAATAAAACAATTAAAAGTGCAAGTTTAATACAACGATTTTCGGAAAAGCATGCTTAACAACATTGATTGGCGATGTTTTTTGTGTCGTTCGGGCAACTCAAATATTTGATGACTTAACGGACTGACACTCGGGCTTTCATTATAAAGTCGTGTGATATTCGACTTGAATTCAGATTTTCTTCTAACTGAACACCCAATAGTACTATCCGAGTACCGCCCTCTGAAGCACCAGTTCAGCACAGCCCGTCGGTACGGTGTGATAAAGTAGACAATACAAAAGTAGTCGATAATACCATGTAAAGCCATTAGAGCTTCAGTTATTGTTGCCACTTCTTCGCTGTAGCTCCAGGCTAGCGAGAAGCTTAGGGCACTTAATGACATTGGCAGTAGAGCCATTAGGTAATAGTTGAGTATTTGAAACGAAACAGCATTGAATAGTATGTACTGCATCTTGGCCGTTCTAGTATGTAAAAATTTTTCGTTCCGGCGCAGTACGACGTACAATGACAAGTACATGTACATAGTACCACCAAAGATGAGGATGTTGAGGAAGATTACTGCCACACCATTCATTCGAATCCAATTACTGTACTTTAGACAAACATAATACTTCGTATCGGCTAGTTGAGCCAAGTTTGGCACTCGAAGAAGAAACTCTTTGCGAAGCTCGGTTGGGTCGGTTATGATGACGTAGTAGAATATGAATAGTAAAAATATTGTGAGTACAATGTGGAAGAGTAAAATATAAATGTAGATTTTGTAAGAATTCTCGAATAAGTCACGTAGCCAATGGTGGTTAGCCTAAAATATTTTTTAAAAATCAAAGTTATAAACGTGCTTTACTCTACCGTACTTTAAGATGTCTTAACGTACTGTACCAAACTCTACTGTACTGTACTGTACCCTACTCTACCCTACCCTACCCTACCCTACCCTACCCTACCCTACACTGCCCTACCCTACCCTACGCTACTTTACCCTACGGTACCTTATTTTACCCTACCGTATTCTATATCACCCTATAGTATCCTACCGTACCCTACTTTATCCTATGATATCTTACTTTGTCTTACCCGATTTTACCCTGCCGCACTCTTTCTTACTCTACTTTCCTCTACTCTATCATACATATTTTTACCGTACCCATTTTTCGTATACATTATATTTAGGCTCACAGTATAGCTTATCTTACATCTTTCTTGGTATCTGGCTTTAAACTATGCTCTATACTCTATTACCTATCCTACCTACCCTATGCTTCGTTTTGTACTTTCTTATCTACCTTACGCTATAACTAACAGTAACTTTTTCACTATTACAGTTGCTATCAATAAAAACTTACAAAAGCGCATCGATGAACCAATGCCCAAATCATGCTCAATATCATATTGACAGTAGTAAAAATAAACAAGAACAAGCTCATATTGTTCCAGAAATCCGTTGCCTCAAAAACTGGATGATAGTTGATACACGGAGCCGGAAAGTTAAAATGTATTTTGGTAGTAAAAACCACTATAGCGTAAGAAAAGCACCAGAATATGTTATTCAGCAAGAAGTACTTGTAACTTTTAATTTGCTTTGAATGCTTCAGTACAAGGTAGGTCAAACATGGTGCTAGAACCAATTCAAGTACCATTGCTATGTTCAGGACATTCTCACTAAAGGTCACTAACATCGGGTTAATTTTGTGGGTTTGAATGCCTTCAGCCATAAGTTGTAGTATAATTTGTAGCGGTACAATGGAGGTTTAAAGTGTGTTTTGTAGCTGAAATGTTACACGTGATTAGTTTAAAGTCTTGGCATTGAAAAATGTTTTTTAAAACGTATTTAACAAGGTTAACAGTAAAAAAACAGAACGATGTAATGCATCGTAATGTTACGTTCAAATTATCGTTAATATTGTAAATCAAAGAGACGACACTTAATTTGACCGTAACAGTAAAATACGACAGTCTAAATAAAAAATTTTACAAAGTAGCTTTTGATAAGTGACCAACATAAACTGAAAGAGCATACAAAGTTGTCAAGAAAGCTGTTTTCAGAAACTGCTGGTCTCGGCTAGCAAGATATTACCGGCCAAAGAATTAACGATAATATAATAGTGTGTGAGGAGTCAAGCAATTAGTCCAGCGTTTATAACAGTTAAGTTTATGTAAGACAAAATACGAATTAGACTTACAGAACACTACAAAGAAGCTCACAATGTTGCGATATTTAACAAAAATGAAACTTCTGTATTCAGAATAGGGTTGAACATTTACCGGTAAATTGATTTTTCGGTAAAAATTTTACCGGTTTTTACCGGTAAATTTACCGGATTATTATTTGGTAATTAAAAACTTTAAAATGTCGTTAAAACGTTTAATAAGCCTTGTAAAACAACAAAAAAAATAAAATAATAAGTGTTTCATGTCAATTTTAACCACAAAGCAAATTATAGCATGAATTTTATGTTTTAGTCAACTACAACCTCTTCATCTTCATCATCTTCTGCAATCTCTTCTTTAGATTCATCAGAACTAACTTCATATTGAATTTTTTTCCGTCAACACGTAACTGTCTTCTTGTGAGCGTTTGATGCTGTCAACCTCCTTGTGAGTTGTTGGCAGAAGATGTTGGTACAGTCTTGTAAGGTTACTGACGTATTTTGCACCACCATAATTGCAAAAGTAGTCATTATGTGTTCTTTTGTAACAGTCTTTGATATTTTTCAACATATTTCGTCAAAATATTGCTAATTTTCCAAAACAAAAACAAATTTTGAAACAAAAATAATTTTCGTGCTAGGACAAAAAACGCTTTTTTACCGGTAAAAAAACCGAAAGTTTCGGTAAAATACTGGTAAAATTACCGGTAAATTTACATTTACCGGTAAATGTCCAACCCTAATTCAGAACTTCGAAACGCAAAACCCCTGTGTACCAAACAGTTTATAAAATTCCTGCCAAAGCAGCGCAATATTTAAAACCAACGTATGTAAAACGCATTTATAACAAACAAATTTAAAATTCTCGAGAGATTAAGTATACAAAAGGTCCACTTTGCATACGGTAATTAAAAAATTATTAAAATAAAAATCAAACAATCAGAAGCGTCGCTTGGGGAGGTGGAGGGGTGGATCCGTGGATCCACCCCCCAGAAAAAATCCGTAGCGACGCCCCTGCAAACAATGTTTAAAACATCAACTGAACCAAAAGTATCGGGACACTTTCTAAATATGTACCTTTAATCTAAAAGTATCCCGCTACTTTAGGTTCAACATAATAAAAAAATTGTGTATGATATTAATGTTTCTTTTAAAAAAACAAAAAAAAACAGTGTTTATACTTTTTTCCGCACATAATCACGTTACTTTATTACTTCAAAATTAATTTATCCGCTTAAAAAAGCAACATATTCTATTAACAGTTTTTGTTGCAAAAACGTGAACCTTTTAACGTTTAATGTTTCATATTATGTTATCACCCAATAGTAACAACATATTTTACAAAACAAAAAAGTTTTATCAGACTTTTAAAGGACCAGTTCGCCCATTCAAATATCACCAGACCAACGCGGGCCCTACGGGCCCGCTATGGTCTGTGCATTTTGTTGTATTTTAATTTTTATACATTATTTTTGAATTCTTATGAACTAAAAAAATTGTTGAATTTTTTAAGAAAAAATGGCGCAGGGTCTGTAAAAATCCTGCGCCATTTCAGCAAAAGTTAAAAAAATGGAGCAGAATAAAGAGAAAATCCTGCTCCATTTTAATCAAAAAATTGTTAGAAACGAATTGTGAAAAATGAGTGGCAACAAAAATGAAAATATTACAGAATAGTCGTAAAATTTTAATCCCGCTATTAAAATTTTAAAAAAAATTAGGATAAAGAATCGTTCATAATATGTATTTTTAAATATTATTTAAAAATACTAAATAAAATTTATTTTTTAAGTTAGACATAAATATTTTCAATAAATAACATTTGGTTCCTTCAATCTTGTTGTTTCTTGGTAGTTTTGTAGCTTCTCAGCTGCTTCATGGGTTGGGGTGGCTTCAAGGTTTCCATTGGAGTGGAGTTTTGTTGTTCTAGTGGAATGGTCGAAGCGATCGATTGAGAAGCCAGCGCCAGCTCCAGAGATTCGGCAGAAGTTGAGGGTTGATCATCTAGCGAAACGGTCGAGCATTGATGTTCGGTCAACTGGGAGTTAGAAGGTGAAGCGGAAATTTCAACATTTTGAATCTTTGGTAAAGGTTCATCATCAGCTTTGGTTGAAACACGCTTTTTTGGAGTACCGAAAACGTTGTCCATGTTGAAGGACTGTCCATTACGTTCAGCGATCAACGAATCGTCATAGCACTCAACGCCTAAAAATTTCAGTGTATCTTCTGCAGGAAAAACATTTTAGAGTAAAGATCAAACATACATTTGTCTCTGTAAATTCCACACAAAGATATGGGAGTAAAAAGCTTTGGAAAGGTCTTGTTTTCGCGCACTGACAAAACTTTTACCATCAGCCTATGTCCCAAATCGTTGCAAACGTAACCACAAAAAACACCACCATTGCGGCCTTGGGTTGGAATAACTCTCATGAAGACATCTTTAAGTCCTAAAATCATAATTATATTGACAAAAAAAAGACAAATTACTAATTTGAGTCGATTGCGGCGTAGTATGGAGCTGTGAAAAGGTCAAATCAATGTAGAGTTGTGGATTAACTATGTCGACATTGTCACTTTGTCCCAAGTCCTCAATTGTGCTCAAGGCGGTGAGTTGTAGTTGGTAGTTACAGTCGCCGACACGATATCGTTCCTCCTTATAAATGACACATTTCAAATTAGTCATTCGAATTTTCTGAACAAATGATACAGAATTTTAAAAAGCAAAAATATATTTACAAAACTAAACTTACTTGTCCAGAGGAAAGGTCGCTATCTTCTGCATACTGAGCCATGTCTCCAAAAGCCGCTACATCTGCTACCTTTTTGTCAAGGAGGGACAACGTTAATTTGTACAACATCACCTGTTTTGGTCCGACATTTCGAAGGTGGTCAATTGTCCGGACGTAACCAACAACATCTCCTAAAAGTTGGGTTGTCGATTGTTCGTTGATGTAGTCAACGGGAGTGAGAGGCCAATCAACCATTATCCGTGGAACAGTCGACAAAGGCAAGAAACTGGCACGAAAGGCGGAGTGGAACGGTCGAAGACGGTGCACCAACCGTCAAAACAAAGAATGAGCATTTTTTTGGAAATTCAGTGCTTTTATAGTGAAAAAAATTATAGAAAAATTAGCATAAAAAGTAAAGGTTTTTTTTGTATAAAAATTAAAAAAAGTTGTTGTTTTCTAACAAAAGTTAATTTAAATCAAGTATTTGTTTATACACAACATTCACAACGTCATTTGAGTCATCTTCTACTTGTACTTTAACACAATTCCAATTTTGAACTCTGGAAAGAGCGACATACAATTGTCCATGGGTAAAAACTTGTTTTTTGTTTAATTTAAGCCCGATTTTTTCAAAGGTTTGGCCTTGAGACTTGTTTATAGTCATGGCAAAAGCTAACCTTATAGGAAACTGGTTGCGATAAAAAGGTACTGGCAAGTTTTTAACGTTTTCCAACGTAATTCGCGGTATGAACACAATTTTTCCTGTTTTTTCGCCCGTCAAACATTCACATTTTAATACGTGATCTTTCATTTCTACTACTCTGAGTCTAGTACCGTTACATAAGCCCTCTTTAATGTCTAAATTTCTCAAAACCATAACTACTGCATTTGTTTTTAATTTTAACTCAAACTTTGGAAAATTCGAATCTCCTAGCGTATTTAGGTATTCTGTCATATATTTGTATTTATCACCTTCTTCTTCTTTAATTTCATCTCTGCTATAATAAATCTTTTCTTCACCTTCTACGATCTTTAACGTTTCCTCGTTGATTTGGTCTACTTCAACATTTAACGGTGCTAATATTGATTTTCTAGTTAATTGGAATCGATTGTTATTTGATATTACTGATCCAAAGATTTCGGTCACTAAGTTGTTCTTAGTTATACAGTTTGATGGTAAAGCAATTTTATCGTCTTCTTTGTTACGTTTTCCTTCTCCAATTTCTAATATATCATTTGCAAAAATAGTATTTTGTTCTCCTGCTCGCATATTTTTAGTCAGTTTGTAAATATCAAAGCTCGGCCACAAAAAACTGCCTTTATTACTTGATCTTACAACCTGTTCAGGTGTAGAATTTTCTTTAATAGGCAAAATTTGTCTAAAATCTCCGCCTAATAACATTACTTTCCCACCAAATGGTTTTTTACTTCCTGTAAATTCTTGTAATGAGCGGTCAATAGCTTCAAGTATATGTTTACTTATCATTGAGGCTTCGTCAATAATAAAAACGGAAG